GCATTCAAGTTCATCTCTGCATAGAATTCAGTTGTAACCAATCCTAAATCATAGAATCAAGTTTTACTGGTATTCTGAATTAAACATATCCTCAAGAATTCCTATCCTGATTTTCATCATATTTGTTACTGTTAATAATAGTTAGAAAAAATATAAGATAAGGATATACCTTGTACTATAGATTTTATAAAATTAATATTTATTTTGAGTAAATCTGATAAAACAAACTATTGGATTGGATAAATTTATAAGATATATGTAACAAGAGGCCCAGGGGCCACATCGCTCACCTGAGCAATTGGCTAGGAAAAAGCACATATCAGATCAGAACTGAAAGTTTACTGGGGGGGGAGGAGGGGGCTTGAATTTTAACCTCCCAGGGGGTCATGATTTGAACAAACTAGAATCTACACTACCTGAGGAAGATTCCCTATAAATATCACTAAGCATGGCTTTGAAGTACTTGAAAAGAAGATTTTAAAAGGTTTCCCAATATATTCCTATGTAAAACTTTTATCGGTCATTTGGCCCCACCCTACCCCCGGGGGGTCATGATTTGAACAAATTTGAATCCAAACAACCTGGGGATGATTCCACAGGAGTTTCATCTTTCCTGTCTCGATGGTTCTTGAGAAGAAAATTTTTCCTATATATTCCTATGTAAAACTTTGATCTGCCATTTTGGCCCCATCCTACCCCCAGGGGTCATGATTTGAACAAACTTGAATCTACACTACCTGAGGATGATTCCACATGAGTTTCATCTTTCCTGGCCCAGTGGTTCTTGAGAAGAAGATTTTTAAAGATTTGTCCTATATATTCCTATGTAAAAATTTGATCGGCCATTTTGGCCCCACCCTACCCCCAGGGGTCATGATTTAAACAAATTTGAATCTACACTACCTGGGGATGATTCCACATGAGTTTCATCTTTCCTGGCCCAGTAGTTCTTGAGAAGAAGATTTTTAAAGATTTTTCCTATATACTCCTATGTAAAACTTTGATCGGCCATTTTGGCCCCACCCTACCCCCTACATGGTTTGAATAAACTTGAATCTATACTACCTGAGGATGATTCCACATGAGTTTCATCTTTCCTGGCCTAGTGGTTCTTGAGAAGAAGATTTTTTAAAAATGCCATTATTTTTTCTCTAATTCATGATTATCTCCCCTTGGAAAAGGGCGTGGCCCTTCATTTGAACAAAGTTGAATCCCATTTACCCCAGAATACTTTGTAGCAAGTTTGGTTGAAATTGGCCCAGTGGTTCTTGAGAAGAAGATGAAAATGTGAAAAGTTTACGACAACAACGACGACGACAACAACAACGACAGACGACGGACAAATTTTGATCAGAAAAGCTCACTTGAGCCTTCGGCTCAGGTGAGCTAATAAAGTCTATACATATAAAGGAAATAACATTTTAACTGTAGCATTACCAGGTTTATATTCTACAGTGTATCAATAAATTACCAGGTAACAAAGCATTTTCAGAGAAGTAAGTTGCTCCATTGAATGGCTGGTAAGCCAATGCCAGAAACCCAGCAACTCCAGCCACATAGCACAGCACACACAGTATGTTGTTGTACTTGGAGATAACGTCCACAATCTTCTTCTGACGTTTAGGGTCAGTCAGCAAACCCATGATGTTCTTCTGTGAAAAAAAAATTAGTATATGTTTATATAATTTTAAGTGAGTGATCATTATTATACACATATGGAATGAGTACAAGGGAAAAAGCAAATTTATGGTTCCCTGAGGGAGAAAACCATTTCCCAGGTGACAAAACCGTTGAGATTTGACCCTACTGAGGGAAATAGTTTCCTGTCAAGGGGAACCATATATATTTGCCATTTCCCGAGTGCCCATTCCATAGCTGTTTTATTATATCGAAACAATCATAGGCGATATATTTAACATTGATTTTCTGACATTTTTTAAAAACACTGTAGAAGCATTTAAATCACAAAAGCATGTGGTTCAAAAGATGGTAAGGTAACTAAATTAACTAATGCAATGATCCTTTACCAAGAACAATAAAATTATTTTTAAAAATTAATTTCACTGACATTTTGAAGAATTATTGTCGTCTTCATTTTGCTAGAATTCAAGTATGATTTGGCATGTAGAAATGTTTTGACATCATAGTTACCATAGTTGCCAACTCACCCGATTTTGTCGGGTTACACCCAATTTTTCAACCCGTAACCCGATTATTTTTTATGATCCGGCGGGTCATGCTTTTCACCCGATTTTTGCTGAACAACCCGAAAATCTCTCGATTTCCGGATTTGGTTTGTAAATTAGGTTGCACTTAATTAAGTTCCAGTTACAACCCAAGCTTAGATCTACGTAAACAATGCCGATGGATTACAGTAATTATCAGTGCAGGTGTAAACAATTAACCGGGTGTGGTTTTGACAAATTGATGTCTGAAATCAATTTAAAATGGATTCCGATAGAACTAGATCGTTATCAGGGCCAGCAGGAACAAATTGAACCACTTAATTCAGGTCAATACTAAAATATGAAACCTAGGCCATCCTTAAAAAAATGTTTGTTTGGAATTGCCGCCTGAAGGGTTTCAGACACAGGAGGAAGGGAGGGAAATTATTTTTTTTTAATTGAAGATAAATTTAACATTTTTTATAAAAATCTCAGAAAACAGTAAATACGTAAACATTTTCTTACTTTTAAAAAAAGTATCTACCATCAACAATAAAACCTAATTTTACATAGGTCTGACATGTGATAAATGTAATGGGCAAAAATATTGATTAAATAAAAAAAATCTTCCTACTTTTGGTCAATAAAATTTTTTCAGGAGGGGGCATTTCAATGAGGCGGGAGGCAATTCCAAACAAACTATAATTTTATTTTGGCCCTACTAATGTTCTTTTTTAACATGTAAATTTAATCAAATTACATATGAATTTTTTGTCATTGTAAGTTAAAGCCTTTTTCAATAAAAGAATTCTCAATACACAAATACTTATACACATATATATATATGTAATTTAATCATGCAAATATGTCGTGAATGTCGTTACGCGTTATGACCAGATTTTTTACTTTCCAAATCTGGTCATGACCAGATTTTTACACGCTGAAGGTTGGCAAGTATGATAGTTACATTGCTAATAACATTACACCATAGACTTGATATTCCTTGAACGTTCCGCCCACTTTGAGTTAGAATAACTAATAAATATTCATGAGGGAGTAGTCCCTGGGAGTAGTTCTGATTTTTCAGGGAGTCGTCCTCAGATGGGGGTGTAACGGGAGAGGAGAAAATGCAGCGGACCAGACCGGGCTTCCAACCCCGGTCACCTGAAACTCCGATCAGGTGCTCTACAAACTAAGCTATTTGGCCAGCGGAGATCGAACCCGACTGACCGCCACAGGGGAAATAATCTCTTCTCAGGAAATTTACATGTAGACAGTTTTTTTGTATGAATTTTATAAAGGGTATTAACAGTAGAGATATAATAATATACATCTATTTACTGGCTATGAGGACAATAGCAAGGCTATTGTCACCATGTCTGGTGACACCATGTCTGAGAAGAATGATTTAATTGATTCAAAAGATCTGAGATGGCGAGTGGACAACAGAAATGAAAATCGTTCAATTCAAAGGAAGAGTCCAAGATTGCCTCTTCCCTGGTGTCATTTTAGGAGTTAACATTTTTTTCTTCTTTAACAAATACATTTTACACGACAAGCCCCACATTCCGGGTATAAGCACTTTCCAAATTGAAAAATTTATATATCGTTGTGCAAAGATTCTTACAATATCTCAATTAAAAAGTTTTGTTTTACTACCCAAATCCAAAGAAGCAGCTTACTTTTGAAGCTTTTGATGAATAAGAGACTGAAACTGTTTTCCAGATCGATAGTGCACTGTAATATAATCAATGTCAAACAGGCGCTTGAGTTTTGGAAGATGGCTGGTCTAAATAACGAAATATAGGGATGGACATGTTTTGCCAAAATTCCACTATTAAAACAATTTATTTTATATAGAGAAGGTTTTCAAAATATTCACTTAAGAATATTCCATTAAAATAAATACTTGATATACTATACATGAACACCTTTAACGTCATTCAACTAGTGTGATTTAAAATGGTGTGAGGGTGTGAGAGAGGGTGAGTGTGTGTGTGTGTGTTCAAAACCAAAGAAATGGTGGAGTGAAGATAATGAACAGTGATCGATAAATAATTAAGTCTGGAAAAAAATCTGTACACAATACAAATTTGTGAATATGGCATAAACATGGACCCCTGAAAATTCCAGAGATTGTATCAGGTAATACAATATCTCAAATTTAAAAAAAAAAACAAGTGTTAAAATCATTGAAACCTCAACTTATATGTCAGGAGCCTGTCTTGGTTAAAAAACTTATCGTTCTCGGAGCATATGGTCTTAAGTATCGAATATGTTGAGACACGTTATGCAGATGATAGCGGGATATATTTTTATACATATGAAATAAAATCATTTGCACACAGAGTGCAAACTGAGTGTAATGATCATTGTTGGCTTGATTAAGTAAATGCTTTTGTAAAGATGATAATGATCATAATGATATTGTCATGGTCATAATAATACACGTAAAATTATTAAATGAATCCATAATAAAGATAAAATAAAAAATCCTCTAGGGCTGGGCAATAATATCGATATTTCAATATATTGCAATACAATGACAAAAAATATCGTATCGCAATACGATTTTGTAATATCTACAGCTTACTCCACTTATATTGAACTCGCTTATTTTGAAATTCCGCTTACTTTGAAATAGAAATAAATCCCCAGTTTTTGCCTCTCATATTCTTTGCATTAAAATAACGGTTATATTGAAATCGGATATATTGAAATTTCGCTTATATTGAAGCCACTGATCGGTCCCCACAGGTGATAATGAGTTGTTTTCATAACGGTTATACTGAAGTACTCCCTGGCGGCTGTCGTTGCGGTTGGTGAAAGTAATTATGCCTGATTGACCAGTTGATATACACAGTTGTGATTAATTATGTTTTTACCTTATGTGTTTTTATACTGCATGTTCTACGAAATAAAATTCTTCACTGTTAAATTCTTTGCGTCCACGTAGTTCATTATATAATACGGACATATCGAGAGTCAGACTAAATAGCTAAATGTGATATAGTAACCCTCACAGATCTAGGAAAAACACGTAACTTTGAAATGAAATAGTACTGTCAATGGCTATTGATATGCCTAAATTCGAAATAACTAAGGGATTAACCCGAGTAAACTTACGACGAAATATAAGCAGCGGTCAGCAGTACTACAACCGTTTAAGTCCGGTGAATTTTCTCCAAAGTGTAAATAAATGCGATCGGGGAATAATAATAAGGTTGAAGATTGTCTTTTCAATGAAACAGAAATAAAAAAAAAATATTTAAACTTTCAAGGACTCATATTCTATGTAATCTGTTTACTGTTATAGATAAACGATAACAAAAATAATTTGTTCGGGTTTGTTCTCCTTTATTTTAGATCGGGATTGAACTTGTAAAAATGGCGGCTTCACGATTTCACTTATATTGAATTACAGATATATTGAAATAATTTGCATGGTCCCCTGAATTTCAATATATCCGGAGTAGGCTGTATATATTGGCAATATGCTTAGCTTAAGAAATTTTGTCATTAAATATAAAAATGGACTTATGAAAGTTTGTTATTAAGCCAAAGAGTGAGTCAGAAGTTGCTTTGTGGGAACATTTCAGAGCATAACTTAAATGAAATCAACAAGATTTTTTTTTCGTGTTGGTTATACTTATCATAGTTATGTACATGTTGCATGTAAATTAAAGTAAATATAGTAAGAAAATGCCATTTATATTACATTGAAAATATTGCAATACATATCGCAATACATTTTAAAATATCGCAATATATCGCAATACGAAATTTCGGCCAATACCCAGCCCAAAAATCCTCCTCCTTTGATTGTGATTCAGTCTGAATTTAGGCAAACCTTTATTTCAAACGTAGAAGGGATTAAGAGTTTTTCACCAATTACACAAATATACGACAAATTCTTTATTAATTTATTTTTTCTCAAAAACTTCATTCTATTTATTCTATCAAATACAAAATGGATAAAACTGATGGCATAATTTGAAATACAGTAAATATGAGTTGTATAACATAATTGTGTAACCATCACTGGAAAGTGCCCTTCGGGTAACAGGTGCCACAGAAATGGCAACAGTGGCGAACCGGGTGGCACGTCAAGCCTTTCTAAAGGCTAAAACTGTGCAAAATTCAACTCAGGTAATATATTTATGAGAGGCAGATATCGTATTGATTGTAAACATGCATATTTTAATCGATTATTTACCTCAGATGTTGCTATTTATTGTAGTGGCAGTGTAGATTTTCAAGGACAAACTCCTCTTATTTTTCTTTACGGTTAAATTACATAACATTTATTTGTTACGGTTTTGTAAGATGTATTTAAAGAAATAATTATGTCTGAAAACCAAATTATTCAAGATTTTTAGAAATCTTTCCCATCCCCTAATGGCAAGTAAATGTGTATGGGAGAAAATCCTCTAGAGGAAATTCGAAATAAATCTCTTATTCTTCTAGATAGCCATGAGTAAATGACACGAATTTTTTGTTTTTAGTGTTTTGTATTTCATTGAAATTGCATTGAGGGGACAGTTTATATTTCTGCTTTAAAGTACTTATGTGGTGTCGTGAAAACACTGAAATGATGTCTCCTCGTACATTGCAGAACAGTAGCATAACAGTTTTTTCTATTCTTTGATCATGATGCTACAGATCCTCATTTCTGTATTGTAAATATGGAGCAATTTAAGGGACAATATTTTCTGCGCACTGATGGGGATGAATTTCTCCACTTTCCAGCATTGGACAATCAACTACTTCTGATTCCCTACACAGGTACAGTCCAAAGACTATTTCTACCTATTCGTAGGTATTAATAGCTACGTGGGTATTTAAACCTACCCAAAGTAGCTATTTTTTGTATTATGTACATTTTGTGGCCCAAAGACTGAAACGGCGCAACATGGAGAATACCATATATTTTTTATATAGTCTCAGTAATGATGAATACCACCAAACTTTGGCCAAAATTGATTACTTCCTGAATCGGCAATTTTACATTAGTTTCTTTGCAAAATTTATAATATACGAAGTAATACGAAGTAATCATTTCTCAGTGTTTTCCTTAAGAACCGGCTACCGGCCAAATCGACCGCTTCAATTGACAAAAATGCCGCTTTGAAAGAAGAATTTGTTGTTAGGTCCACAGAGATTTTGTTTATAAACCTCAGCCCCTAGCTGTTACAACTTATCTCTAACCCTTTACTTTGAAATAAAGGGAAAACACTGATTTCTTGGTCAAATTTTTGTCATATCTATCATCAGTGTGACTGTATCAAGAAATTCAGTGCTCAACATGTTGCGCTGTTCCTGCGTTTGGCCACAAAAGTCAGAAAAAGCAGAAAGTAGGTAAATATAGCTACTTTGTGTAGGTTTAAATACCTACTTAGCTATTAATACCTACGTAGATAGAAATAGTCATTGGACTGGACCTGCTACATATTCTTTAACCAACTTGTATATTTTGTCCATTCCCTTACCCTTTATCGTAGTCTCTACAGACCAATAATTGTTTTGAAAATTCTGTGATCAGAAAAAAAAACAAGAGTTCATTGTTCTCTAGTGATAACTGTAAAGGGTTATACGATAGGTAGTGGATAAAACAAACAGGGCTGGCAAAAGAATTTATCCTGCAACTACACCTTGCATATTTTTAAATAAAGGTAACCTAATAAACCAAAGCCTTATTTGGTCTATGCCTTAATAAAGTCTCTTGCGTGTATTCTGACGTTTTAAAAGCATTGTGACGTTATAATACAGGGGCAGGGCTGTCACTAAAAAAAACTCTTAAAACATGAATTGATTGCTCTAAACAGCTGATAAAGTTATGTTAAAAACAACAGATTAAGTTCACTTATGTTTTAAACTAACACAATTTTATTCTTCTTTATACAGTAAAATTTGTCTAATCCGGACTCTGAGAACTCCGGATTTTTGTCCATTCCATCTATGAATTTAAGTCCCATGCACTTCTTTAACAAATTCATTAGAAAAAATTCTGTGTAGTCCGGATACTGTCTATTCTGTATTCCGAACAGCCATACTGGTCCCGACTGCTCATAATTAACGGTAATTATTTCCTCTAATCCGGCCACACCTGAGTTACTTCAAAGCAATTAACACCTTTCGTGGTGGATGTGATAATCCGTGTTTGCATTAGCATGATTAGTGCCATGAGACGAACTCAGTGAAATGCAACGGTGACACAGCCCACTTGAAAAATATTATATGATTAAATGACAATTTAAAAACATTAACTTATCTTTAACTCCTTTTACCACATTATAACATAAACACAAAAATATATATACGCGATTAAAAATCAAAATATAAATCGGGATCGAAAATCGAACGCATTTCAAAATGGCGCCATAACACTGTGGGGGAAGACGTAATTTTTTATATAAAAATTAAAAGTTCATTCCAATAATTAGCACATCATAAATAATTGTGCATTACTCTCTATACATTGAATGAGCTCTTTGACAAGCGAAACTCGGTCCGCTTGATATATATAGTAAGCCTATATTATGCGTGCCTGTAGATTTTGATGTAGGTAAAATATCACCCAACTTTCAAACTTCGTGAACAACCTAGAAAATACAGTGAGTCATGCGAGACTATTTTATAATCTCCAGACTCCAAAATATTGATTGATTTCATCATTCAATTATATTTTATATTATGTATATGATGTCTTGTAAATACACAGCAAAATTTTCAAAATCAATATTTTCCTGCATTT